GAGTCACTTAGATTTTACAAATACGTGAGCCGTTCACAGCCTAGCACATGTATTTGTAAAATATAAGTGACTCGTACAACATGGAATTCATATAAAACGGAAAAATCAACAGTGTTATAGGGGATTCGACTGTATTTAAAAAAAATAAATGCCAAAAGAATACAGCAGAAGAGAATTTATTAGAAACTGTAACAACCTGAACTCATAAATGAAAGGTAACTGACCACTGAACATTTGTATGCAAAACAAATACAGTAGAGCGTTGTTTATCCAAAAGTCAATTATCTGAAAGAATTCCAGTTTGCAAATTTAAATTTTCGCCAGTGTTGTGGCACTGAATCTTTGGCTATGTCTTAGGCTACTCAAATATTTTACGTTTTTGATACTAAATTAACTTCTGAAGTATAATTTTTTATTGTTTTTATATTTTTCAATATATTTATTTTGTTTGTACAAAATAAAAAAATAATTTTTAATGATACAATAGTCTTCATTAGGCTTAACATCNTACTAGCTTAACAACACTTATTTCACTGAATTAATATTAAAATCACTTACTTTTCATTATTAAACTGTTTGGACATAGTCACTTCAGCTCCATCTGTTTTTATGTCAAAACCTTCAATAGTTGGAAGTTTTGATGATTTCCTAGATTTAATTTCTGCTTTGATTTCTTGTTCTAAAAACTCTGCTAATTCCTTATCTCCTGTACAAATATGTAATTATTAATCTAATGACAAGTCTTCATAACATATTTTCATATATTAACAAAGTGAAGAGGATTTAAATATCAATTCATTTCAAATATTACAGATTATAATTTTTTAATTTACAGGTAAAAAGATACTCCAGCTGAATGTAATGAGCAATTGTAAATTTTAGTAAAGTCCTGATGTATGAAGTGTATTTTTATTTATTACTGAATAATTAATCAAATTAAAATTAAATTAAGAAAAATTATGGCTATAATAGTTTAACTTACTTTCTCTATACTTTTTATTATTTATACATATATGCATATCAACAACAATTTTAATTAGTAATGTTTTAATTGATATTAGTACAGGGGTGCCTTGTATAACATACTTAATCCATTCCAGGTGCACGTCCGTTAAGTGAAAAGTCCGTTATATGAAACGCATTTTCCCATAGAAATACATGTTAAAACATATAATTTGTTCTGCAGCATAAAATAACCGTACTGTACCATAAAAAAATGAAAATGGAGTAGTCACCAATTATGCCGGGTAGTCAGATGTTGTGAGGAGGACGTGGAGGAACACTTTCTTCACACATTCATACAGAGACAGACTTTTCACACATTGCAGCAGGTCTCTTTATTGTTTTTTAAATCGGAGCCAGATTCAAGAGAGGCAACTGGAGCTTGCAGGGTCATCTCTTGTTCCATCCTTTGTCTTTTGGCAGCTGGCTCCTTGAAAAGCATGTCCAAGGTGGTCTGTTTCTCTCTCTTCTTCCAACACCTGTCGGAAATGACGGGCAAAGGTGTCATTGTAGAGATCATTGATCCTGTTGGCCTCACTGTGTTTGGAAAGTGAGTGTTCGTAATCTCCTGAATCTCTCCCCATTTGACAAGAAAGTCAGTGTCAACTTTCACTCCTTCTGATGATTTCTTGCTTTATTAAAATTGAAATCACCTTTGTTTTTTTAGAAGCCATGATTTGCATAACACTTGAATAAATGTAAATACCCTGCACTGAAGTAATGTATGTAATAAACAAGGGAGCAAGCCGAATCCCAACGGAAGCTCTGTACTTCAGATATACTAATAATATATTCTAATAATACTAATATATTATAAAAATAGCAGATTGTCATTGGCAATGGCAAAAGAGTGGAAACATCATTCGCACTTGTTCGCAGGAAGTCCTTTGTTCGCCTCACGTAACTGCCGAAAGGAAAGTCCGTTGTTCGAGTCACATAACGGCCAAACAGAAAGTCCGTTGTTCGCAGCGTCCGTTATACGAGGCACCACTGTATTTGTTATTTCTTATATAAAATAACTCAAGAAGCTTCAGATATCAGAACTTTAATGTACAGTAATAATTTAAATTTTATCGATTGTACTGTCATTTCCTATAGAAATTAACGTAGTTACTAAAAATGTTTAAATTTAATAATATGATTTCTTCTCTTTACTTGTTGTATAATTATTCCTAATTTTTTTACTTTGTTATACATTTTTATTAATTGGAACTACTGTATGTATAATTCAAAACTTTTTTCAGATATCTTGAATTAAATTAACCCTGAAATTTAAATTAATGTACATTTTCTTTATTAAACCTTTTGAAGTTTCCTTTCTTCATCTTTACATTCATTCTAAATTGTAATACAGAAAACATCAAAGTAATGTTTGTGTTCTATTTATATAAATTGATAGAAAAAAATTAAGTTTAATTTAATAATCAGCTGTTTTTATGATGTGTGAAATCTTTATTTCTGACCACACACAAAAAAAAAATCATGATTATCTAGTTGAGAAAGCCCTAAGTGGCAATTTTTGTCTAATGTTTCTGTAATCAACCATATACTCATTGTCTCAAGAGAACAAACATCACAAATTTTATCTATATTTTTGTCTACTTTAAATTTTATATCCAATAAATAAATTTATTTAAATTTTAATAAAAAAAAAAGTAATAAAACTTAACTTAATAGACTATATTTATTAAAAATAATCAGTGATATTGAAACAAAGCAATTCTNATGTGTTTTAAGATTTCAATATTTAAGAAACTGATGTCTGGAGTGCTGTTTTTCAAACCTTCTATAGTATTATAGACTTCTAAGGCTGTTGTGTTTTCCAAAAAGAAAGTATTATAAATACAGTAGAGCATCGTTTATCCGAAGGTCGGTTATCCGAAACGTCGGTTATCCGAAGGAATTCCAGTCGACAAATTTAAATTTTCGCCAGTGCTGTGGCGCTGTAATCTTTGGCTATGTCTTCGGCTACTCAAATATTTTACGTTTTTGATACTAAATTAACTTCTGAAGTATAATTTTTTATTGTTTTTATATTTTTCAATATATTTATTTTGTTTGTACAAAATAAAAAAATAATTTTTAATGATACAATAGTCTTCATTAGGCTTAACATTGACAAAAATTCAACGCAAAGCGACATGCAACGGAGAAAAATTTCAACATGGGATACATTAATATATTTTTTCGTACATAATCGGTTATCCGAAATATCGATTTTCCGAGCAACCCCAGTCTCCAATTGATTCAGATAAACGATGCTCTACTGTACTGCAAGTACTGAAATGATACGTAAATATCTGAAGAAATTCAAAAATTACATAAAATTTAAAAATGTCAATATAAAAATGATACTAGCTTAACAACACTTATTTCACTGAATTAATATTAAAATCACTTACTTTTCATTATTAAACTGTTTGGACATAGTCACTTCAGCTCCATCTGTTTTTATGTCAAAACCTTCAATAGTTGGAAGTTTTGATGATTTCCTAGATTTAATTTCTGCTTTGATTTCTTGTTCTAAAAACTCTGCTAATTCCTTATCTCCTGTACAAATATGTAATTATTAATCTAATGACAAGTCTTCATAACATATTTTCATATATTAACAAAGTGAAGAGGATTTAAATATCAATTCATTTCAAATATTACAGATTATAATTTTTTAATTTACAGGTAAAAAGATACTCCAGCTGAATGTAATGAGCAATTGTAAATTTTAGTAAAGTCCTGATGTATGAAGTGTATTTTTATTTATTACTGAATAATTAATCAAATTAAAATTAAATTAAGAAAAATTATGGCTATAATAGTTTAACTTACTTTCTCTATACTTTTTATTATTTATACATATATGCATATCAACAACAATTTTAATTAGTAATGTTTTAATTGATATTAGTACAGGGGTGCCTTGTATAACATACTTAATCCATTCCAGGTGCACGTCCGTTAAGTGAAAAGTCCGTTATATGAAACGCATTTTCCCATAGAAATACATGTTAAAACATATAATTTGTTCTGCAGCATAAAATAACCGTACTGTACCATAAAAAAATGAAAATGGAGTAGTCACCAATTATGCCGGGTAGTCAGATGTTGTGAGGAGGACGTGGAGGAACACTTTCTTCACACATTCATACAGAGACAGACTTTTCACACATTGCAGCAGGTCTCTTTATTGTTTTTTAAATCGGAGCCAGATTCAAGAGAGGCAACTGGAGCTTGCAGGGTCATCTCTTGTTCCATCCTTTGTCTTTTGGCAGCTGGCTCCTTGAAAAGCATGTCCAAGGTGGTCTGTTTCTCTCTCTTCTTCCAACACCTGTCGGAAATGACGGGCAAAGGTGTCATTGTAGAGATCATTGATCCTGTTGGCCTCACTGTGTTTGGAAAGTGAGTGTTCGTAATCTCCTGAATCTCTCCCCATTTGACAAGAAAGTCAGTGTCAACTTTCACTCCTTCTGATGATTTCTTGCTTTATTAAAATTGAAATCACCTTTGTTTTTTTAGAAGCCATGATTTGCATAACACTTGAATAAATGTAAATACCCTGCACTGAAGTAATGTATGTAATAAACAAGGGAGCAAGCCGAATCCCAACGGAAGCTCTGTACTTCAGATATACTAATAATATATTCTAATAATACTAATATATTATAAAAATAGCAGATTGTCATTGGCAACGGCAAAAGAGTGGAAACATCATTTGCACTTGTTCGCAGGAAGTCCTTTGTTCGCCTCACGTAACTGCCGAAAGGAAAGTCCGTTGTTCGAGTCACATAACGGCCAAACAGAAAGTCCGTTGTTCGCAGCGTCCGTTATACGAGGCACCACTGTATTTGTTATTTCTTATATAAAATAACTCAAGAAGCTTCAGATATCAGAACTTTAATGTACAGTAATAATTTAAATTTTATCGATTGTACTGTCATTTCCTATAGAAATTAACGTAGTTACTAAAAATGTTTAAATTTAATAATATGATTTCTTCTCTTTACTTGTTGTATAATTATTCCTAATTTTTTTACTTTGTTATACATTTTTATTAATTGGAACTACTGTATGTATAATTCAAAACTTTTTTCAGATATCTTGAATTAAATTAACCCTGAAATTTAAATTAATGTACATTTTCTTTATTAAACCTTTTGAAGTTTCCTTTCTTCATCTTTACATTCATTCTAAATTGTAATACAGAAAACATCAAAGTAATGTTTGTGTTCTATTTATATAAATTGATAGAAAAAAATTAAGTTTAATTTAATAATCAGCTGTTTTTATGATGTGTGAAATCTTTATTTCTGACCACACACAAAAAAAAAATCATGATTATCTAGTTGAGAAAGCCCTAAGTGGCAATTTTTGTCTAATGTTTCTGTAATCAACCATATACTCATTGTCTCAAGAGAACAAACATCACAAATTTTATCTATATTTTTGTCTACTTTAAATTTTATATCCAATAAATAAATTTATTTAAATTTTAATAAAAAAAAAGTAATAAAACTTAACTTAATAGACTATATTTATTAAAAATAATCAGTGATATTGAAACAAAGCAATTCTAATAATCTCTCTCTCTCATACTAATTACAGTATTTGTGTAACAAGCTTCAAACAAAAAAATAAAATACAGTAACCTCTGTTATATGACTACAGGAGTAGAAACAAAAAACCATTTAATTTTCCTGCGTAAGCTAGCTGTAATGTGTGTGTCATCATTTCCATTCAGTTCTGAAGCTACTGAATGAGAACAATGTTCTGCGAATGTTTAGTAGAAGAATTTGTCTACAGTAGTTTTCAACAGTGATCAAATTCACACAAGCATACACTTTATGATTTTCAATTTGGTATAAAAGCAGCTAAATCTTATTGCTGTATGATGCAATCATTTGGCAAGAATGTCATCTTCAAGTTTACAATCTATGATTGATTCAGTAAATTTAACCCTGACATTGCATCATCCAACTACCATCTCTTCTGCTCCATACAACAATTCTTGGATGGAAAACAATTTGCTGATGATATGAAAATTGCACTAAAAAAGCTAGTTTTCTTGTTGGGATCACCAGCTATATTCCAATTAGATAATTCTTGAAAATTCTGTAATCATGCATCTGCAGGTGTATAGGAATGCTACCAGTAATTCAATGATCCAAAACTTAGGGTTTATTTATATTTATTTAATGTATGTATATTTGTATACAGTGGTACCTCAGGATACGAACGCCCCAGCATATTAAATTTTCAGGATACGACATGAAATTTGAACATATTTTTGCTCCACGATATGAACAAAAACTCACCATACGACATTACATTAGTTTGCAGCGCCATTTTTTATTCACTTCTGTTCATTGGTCTCAGTCCACGTGTTTGCTTCGTCGTGGAAGGATCTCGCTCGATAAAGGAAATCTTGAGGTATTATCTGAAAGTGACTGATTTTATTGAAAAGAAACATCCAAAAAAGATTCACACTGGCTATATTGCTGCTCGGAGTAATGACATTTGCCTAAGTCATTTTAGAAACATTTTAAAAGTAGGCAAAGCCAAACCTCTTTGGATAGATATTTTACCAAGTGACCTCTATCCAGTGAATGTGAAAGTGCTGGTGGAAGTGAAGGAAAGAAAGCAAAAACGCAGTGAATAAAAAATTAAAAAAAAATATGAAACAGAAAAGATAAAAAAATTAGTGTTAAGTTATTTTTAAGTTATTGTTACATTATGTTATGTAAGTTTTAGTATCATTTCCCTTCTCCCTCTCTTCCACCACCAGTCTACACCTCCATCGTCGTCTATTCTCAAAGGTAAAGTGCAAATAAAACTATATTTTTTTTTAAAAATCAATTATTATTCTATTATGGTTATTTATACATTTATAACTACAAAATGCATTTTTCAGTGTTTTCTGTACTATAGTTATTTTTTTTAAATGTACAACTTAGCTTTAATTTGAGTGTGTTTTTCATGTTGGAACTAGGGAATTTGATCCCGGTCCTTATTTCCAATCCCGGGATTTCGGGATTATACTTATTCAATCCCGGGATCATTTCGGTATTGAGGGTTAATAAAAAATAAGAAAATCTTACAAAAATCAAAATTTAGACAAAAATCAACGTATTTTACGGTATACACCTAGTTAATTTAATCACTCTAACTAATCAGACTTAGAGTCAGACTAACCAGACTTAAAATCATTGTTTCATGTTAAATTTATTCTTTTTTAAGCATTACTGACATCTCTTTAAACTCACATAAATTGAAAAAACCTTTATGTAACAAACTATGCAAATAAACCTTGAAAATTAACAAAAATCTCTCTTAACATCGACTAAATAGACTACTTTCATATAACAACCTNTTTTACACTGGCACCTATTTGTAGCACAATTTTTGGTACAGGTGCACCGTATAAAACCTTGTCCTGTCCCAACTGAATGTTTGGTAGCTGCAGTCCTTAGTGAGATTTGAACATCTTGATTAACATCACTTTCTTGTAGAAATTTTTGAGTACAAATGTCGAATTCAGTTCTGTAATAAACAAATATTTTATTTTGACCAAATTACATAACATATTCATGCTTTTTAGACCAAACAAAACAGCGTTTAACATTGCGCTTTTTTTCTTCGAAGATCTTTATCAGGCCTTCATTATAAGTAAATATTATACTAAAACCCTATCTGAAAAAATTCATAAAACTTGAAAACCTTTTCCAAATTTAAAAACAATAATCATCGAAATCAGTTCAGATTTGACAGTGAAATAGAGTAACATGATCATTAAAAAAGAATTTCTTTTCTGAAGTAATTTGAGAAAAAAATAAATAAAATGCGTAACTAACCTGCAATAGAGTGTCTGCAATATTCCATGCTTAGTTCCAATTTTGTACAGGCCATCATTGTTTATTTCAAGAACAACGCCAATAACATTTCTTAGGTCGCCCCTTCCTCTGTCTACATCAGGAATCGGCACAGTCACATTATCTCCCACTTTAGCTGGTGGATGCGATTTGTCAGAAGCAGATTTCATTTTTTTTGCCTGTTTCTGAAGGTTTTCAGCAGCTGTTTGTCTTGCCTTTTGGATATCATCACCAATTTTAGAAGTTTCGATATCATTACAATCACTATCATCTCCTGAATTATTGTGATCATTTGTATGTCTATGGGTTAAATCAGTTTCAATAAGTTTTTGAACGTCATCTTCATCTTGAATATCCTTTATTATTTCTGGTGGTAGTGATGTCGTTGAAAGACCAACTCTGGGTTCAACTCCAAACATAGCTTTGTAAGGCGATTGTTTTATGCCCGAATGATAGGCCCTATTTTTCATAAATTGTACATATCTCAATCCTTCTGACCATTTAGTCGAGTGATTATCTTTTAGCCAACAACTGATCATGTTCTCGACGTCTTGGTTGGCTCTCTCGACAGAGCCCTGACTTTGGCTGTGCCGTGGTTTTCCATGCACTAGCTTAAGTTCTGGCCAAAGACTCGTCATTTCACATATAATACGATTGACGAATTCTCTTCCATTGTCTGACTGCAAAATACACGGGACACCTATTGTCAAAAATATATCATTCAAATGGTAGGCTACTTCTTCAGCTCGTTTAGATTCCAAAGCACGAAGCAAAATAAACTTGGTCAAGTGGTCTTGGTAGACCATGATAAATTTAAACTTTCCATCAGGTTGAGTCTGAAAATCAATGAGATCCACTTGGCACCTACTGTTCATTTCAGAATGTAAAATTGGCTTAGAAACTAAACCTCTTTTTTTTTTTTTTTTTTTTTTTTGATTATCTAGGAAGAAAAACCAGACATTCAACACTTCATCAGAGACATCAATTCCAACCAATTTGGCCTAGAACTTGAACTAAAGTAAGAAAATGATAAAACTATACATTTCCTAGAAGCAATAGAAGTAGAGAATGGAGGGGAAATCACTACAAGTTTATAGAAAGCTGACTTATAACCCACTATTAATACCACGGACTCCCACAACCCCGCAAGCTATAAAATAGCAGCATCTGAGCCCTTATAAAGAGAGCATTCACGCACTGCAGCAAACTTCAAGACAGAGAATTAGATCACATCAAAGAAATAGCTAGCCAGTGTGGTGTCAGCCAGAATATGATAAAGAAAAATAGACGATAACAAAGGTAATGAGTGGGAAAGAATAGAATACACTCTGATGGAATACATGACATCCCTAAGCAAAATTTACAAAGAAATAGGAGCAGCAACAAACAAAAAGATAATTTTTATAAATTATACACCAACGTTTTTTTCTCTTAATCAAATATAATTAAACCCTAAGTTTTGGATCATTGAATTACCAGTAGCATTCCTACACACCTGCAGACACAGGATTATGGAATTTTCAAAAATTATCTAACTAATGTTTTATTCAGCATAAATTCATGACCTGCCCAATCAGTGGAAGAAAGTGAATGTAAATTGTTTTCTTGAAAAAACTATATATTTTTTCTTTTTGAAATAATTGTTGTACTATAAAACTGCAGAAAATTCCAGAAACTTTTGCATCAACCAATAAATAATTACTGGTTATAAGATTTGTTTTTCTCACAACACTCTATTATGTCTAGCATAAAATAAAATAAAGACTATACTAAAATATACGTAAATTGTTTTAAATATTCACCTTTGGTATGAAAGGAGTTAGACGATGCCATGCTGAACACATTATTTAAACTCGATCTGCACTTTAAAAGTTGACTATAGGACCGGCTTAATAATTTCGACTGTGAAATTACTCTACGACTGCATAAATTTTCCGGTAATGCCGATACAATTCTACTGTAATTGACTACAAATTTACTTAACAAAACTGAATTTCGACCCAAAGACATTTTCCTCGTGTTCAGACTTCGGAAAAAGATGGCGAGAAAACAGTGTTGCCAATTTACTAAATATTAGATTAAAAGCAATCATAATCTTTAAATTAAATTAAAATGTCTAAGTTGTTCAAATTATTATTATAATTATTCAAAAAATATAAATATAATTTGCATATGAAAATCTAAACTAGGTAATCTAGGCGAAAAGAATTAAAAAAAATTCTTTTCGCCCTGTGGGCACTAAAAAATCCTCTTTTAACAAGCCCATTATGAATTCGGCCACACCCACAATGAAGTGACTGGGTGGTGAGGGACGGAGCCCGACATATCCGGACGGACCACTCCCCCGAAAAATTACTGGGGATTTATCGACCCATCCGGATTCGAGGCCTGGTCTCCAGAGCAGCAGGCTGCCACCTTGACCGCTCGGCTATCCGGCACTAAGTAGGCTTCTTTTTTTTTAACAAGCTCATTATGGGTTCGACCAGATTCACAATGGGGTTATCCCCCGAAAAATTCCTGGGAATATTTCGACCCGTCAGGATTTAGATCCCAGGCCTGCAGAGCGGTAGGCTGGCAATTTTTGTATCACGCCATCTAATATTATACAGTGGTACAAAAATTTATGCAGGAGTGCTGAGATGTAAGTATAGCTCGCTTCTACCTGAAAAAACCGAATTAGAATTACACGCAAATAATGTATTTTCTGTATTCATGTAATTTGGAAAATAATAAGGCATAATAAAGAAAACAATGGTAGTAATAAAATCATAAATTGGTTGATTAATCGCGTTATCCATTTTAACGACAGTTTGTTTGGCTAAGTTACGGCAATGCAACATTTGGGCGATCTGCCTAGAGGGGATGCCTTTCGGGAGGTTTTTTAAGGGTAACTGACTCTTATTCAAGCGTTACAGACGTGGAGAAAACCCGGAAAACCACGTGGCCAGCACGTCCGAGACGTAAACCCACGACCGAACTTCCAGTGTTCAGCGAACGGAACCGGTTGGCCACTAGTTGGTCTTATGACGACAGATTAGACAAATCTCCATGTATATCTGTATTCTGCATATTCAAAAATACAGTATACAGAACTTTCTCTTCAACAATTTCAGATTCTCAGAAAAACTATCAATATCCTTATATAATATATATTTTAATTAAAATATTGCAGCATCTTTAGAATTGGTGTAATCAATATTATCGACGAATGAAACGCGCCATATTAAATGATTGGGGCAATAGTATTTATCTTACAATTTAGAAGAACAGATAGCAAAGTAGCAATATTGTCCATACTCTAAAGTCAAACCAAATGGGATATGGTATACTTAATTACTGATCCTTAAGAAAGTTGTAAGGACAAGCGGGAATAAAACTTGTTTTCAAGCGTAATATGTTTTTGTAAATAATTAAATAGAAAACAAATTCCTCAGATAATTCCTTGAAAGTTTCAAGTTCCTAATTTTGACCCTAAATAGTTTAATTACCCTTAGATATGAAGGGAATTTTGGCAACATGCCGCAGACCTATAACCTTGCGGCCGGATGGCCGAGCGGTCAAGGTGGCAGCCCACCGCTCTGGGGAACCCGGGTTCGAATCCGAACGGGTCGAAAAAACTCCAGGAATTTTTCGGAGATGTCGGGCCCCGTCCCTCACCACCCGGCAGTCCTATTGTGGGCCTGACCGAACCAATAATGGGCTTGCAAAAAGAGGCCCTCTTAGTGCACACAGGGCGGAAAGAGTTAAAAAAAAGACTATAACTTATTTAGTTATGTAATACAGTACTTCGTAAATATTAAATTAATTATTAACTTGTTTTATTTATTTCAACACGTTAATAAACTAATAAAGTAAAACGAGCTATAATTTATTGTGACATCGACACAATGCCGGGCTGCAATTTTTTGTCATAATGCTCTCAGTTTTATAGTGGATGACACTATAAAACTTCTGTACATCATATTTTTGCTGTTAACAATAGTCATGACGGTCATCTATCTAACTCCGTTCTCGAGATTAACAAATGACAGACAGGCAAGCGGATGTCAGTAGGAATCTATAATTTGAAAATACAGTTAATATATTAATCAATAATTATTTTAATTTTCATCTATTGCATATTTATATTTAAGAAAACAAGCATTGGAACACGTTCGAGATATAGTCTGTTTCTTTTTTTTTTGCAAATTCAGAAGTATCGAGAAGTTCTGTCTGTACGTGTGGCGCAATATTGGGGGTATTCGTAGTATTCGAATTTATTTATATTCGAGATCTTGAATCTTCATACTCTTTAGTATTCGAGTGTTCACGAAGAGTATTCGCTTATCTCTAATAGAAATGGTAGTAGTAAGAAGTGATAGCTATCTTCAGTTTAAATAAACATTTTATTTGAAATATAATCATATAATCCAAGCATTAAAAAGCTTGTTATGTGAAGATAATATACTGTACTTAATTTTCTATGACATTTTCCTTATTCATTATTAGTTTTATTGTCTTTTTATCTTTAGATTAACACTTATTATTACTTGAATATTTATTAATAAGGTGGCACTAGCAATCCGAAAATACACAGAGAACACATATATTAACACAGTTTTTACTCATAAACTACAACGTAATAAAACATTTCATATTTATAAAGAAAATTTATGTAGTAAAGCAAAACTAGAAAATGACTTACATGTCTGTTATGGTGGCCATTTCATTTCTATACAGCTCTTGTTAATATTACAGACAAAATAATATTCCAAATTAAAGAACAACTCAACAGAGCCAAAGACTGTCTCTTATCAGACAAACAAATAAAGCAGGATCTATGATGTTGCAGGTTTTAGTTGATTAATAATTATATAATTAACATTAATCAACTTTTAATCAATTAAAAAATCCCCAAAATTTTAAAATCACTCTTTAATAAAAATTAAAAAGTGATTTTGAAATTTTGGAGATTTTTTAATTCAAAGAACAATATTTCTTATTCATGTCTTCTTAAGCCAATTTGTAAAGTGAACAAATGACATGGAATGATTAAGGGATTAAGGAACAAAGATAAAGTATTTGTAAAAGTAAGAATCTCTGCCTTGGTTATACTACCTTGTTTATAACTACAGTAGTAGCGATTTGATGCAACAAAGTTTTTATGCTAATGTGATAATACTCGTAGTGCATAAAAGTATTATCACGATAAATTGTTTTGCAGTCATATTGCTTCTGTGTTGTTTTGGAACTAAAATGACTTTCTTCAATCGTATCATTATAAAGCAATAGTTACTAATTACAAAATGTTATGCAATTATGTACAATGTTATGTTTAAGTAATGAAATCTCCGTTTTATTAATTAAGAAATCTTCACTCTTGCGATATTGTTGCCATTGTTTTTTCAATAAATTAGTCTATTATTATATTATTTATTCACATTTCTAAATTTATTTAGTAACTAAGAAATTTAATGAGTTAAATTGTCATTTCGACAAGAATAAAATATATGAATTAGTTATATGTTACAGGTAAAAGTGTAGGTAAAATTGATAAATAAATTATAAAATATAAATTTTATTTTATATTTTCTAACAAATAATAATTTATTTAAGTAGTTGCAGTTCTTTTAATATCAGTATAGATGCGTGACTTCAACACGTTTTATTACCTTCGGTTTCTGTTTGTATGAACCATAAGTGTTAAAATTAGTCGGAGGTGAAAACTTATTTTTATTCATGCAAAGAATTTTCTTATTTTTCTTTTTCTTGGTGAGGTATTTTATTACCTTCGATTCCAAAAATTCATATATAGTGAAAAGTGAGATACCTAACCACATTCCTGTATATCCTCCCAGATAACTGAATAATTCTATTGTCTGTAAATTATAAACTTAATGCTTAGAATTTAAATATTAATAATTAAAATCAAGAAAATTGTTACCTCATATTCGGGTGAACTACGATATGTCAATGTTTCTGGATCACGCAAAGTGATGATCATTATTACTGCTCGTTTTCTAAGAATAAAACAAAGAATTACAGAAAAATATTAATATATTTATTTTTTATATAAATTCTAAAGTTTTATATAAATGAAAATGCAATAGTTTACTTCATTCTCTTCGTTTGAAATTCCCATATATATTCGTACTAAAAATATTAAATAAGCTGTTTCAGATTTATTTAAAGATATAAACTCATTATGTATACATTATTATATAATTATATTATATTATATATACATATTATTAAAAAATGAAAATAAATTACTTACAAAATGTAAGAGATCCTGAGGAATTTCTTTCCATGCTACTGTATACTGGAATTTTCTTTGACTATAAACAGTAGTTCAATTTAAAATTTAAAAAAGATAATCATGACAATTTAAAGATAATCATAGAAATAATCACGCATTAATTTTAAATTGTTTTATCAAATATTTATAAAATTTTGTAATTTTAAAATGCTTACTATTTGCCCACGTAAATAATTGACAATCCTTGTTTTAATTATATAAGTTGTATAAATTATATAACTTACATAATATTTTGCAATTTGATAACAGTCCCAGAGTTCCCATTTTGCTGTAAAATTTTAAAATACTTACTAACAGCTTTTTTTACACTTATCGTAGCAGTTTAGAAGATCCGCATTATTGATGCATTCTTTATCACCTAAAGAATTAGATGACAATAAGTTAGTAATAATTTTTAAAAACTGATAAAATAAAATCTTACGTTCTAGACAGTATCTTTCTTCGTGAGGATACATTATTCTATTAGGTACGCATCCACATTCAGATCGGGCTTTCACCATTTTGCAATGCTGAACACACATCTAATAACACGTAATTATATATTTGTTAGAATTACTTAATTAAAAGACAAAATGCGTAAATATATTTATTACCTCCCATGACAATGGTCCAGATTCTTTTGCTTTCCATTCTTCGAAATAATCTTGACAATTTGTGATGTATGGAGGAGGTAATGTAAACTTTTCTATCTGGAAATATAATCTAATTGTTTTTAAATTTAAAATTATAAAAAAAATAAACATTATTTTTAAAATAAATTGTAATATTTTACCATATTTATATCTACATAATATATATTTCCTGGTTTAACGATGAAGCCATGGATATAAGGATTCTCAGTGACAAAGGGAGAATGCAGATGTACTAATCCTTCAATAGAATTATTTGGTCTTAAATATTCTTCGGGTTCCAAATCAAGGAACAATTTCATTATTTTTCTCTCTTCTAAAGAATTTAAAATTTTAATATTCAAATTATTTAAAAAATTAATTTCAAACACAAATCTGATTTTTTTCTACACTAATTACCTGTTTTTAATGATATATTAGTCATTTCTCTATAAGGATTGAGAAGCAGAGAATTTAAAAGATAACAATTTCTCGGACAAGTTACACCTTCAGACATTGGAACAACAGTGTAATTTTCCTTACTGTAAAAATAAATGTTAATAGTTTAAATAGTCAAAACCACTCGTATTTGCAAGAGTGAACTTCTTGCATACGGAATTTGTATACAGCAAATCCTCGCTTAATTAACGTCGTCGGTAGATCCTTGGAAACGACGTATAACAAAATCAATTTTACGATAAGCTAATTAATATAAACAAGAGTCGAGTTCCAACGACATATTTCTGGTCACAAAAACATCACCAAACTTAAATAAAGACTCAAAAATTCTCTAATATGAAATATTTAAATAAATGTGTGGCATACGTATCGTATTTAATCGCCATTTGGAACTCCACAATGAAGGATTTATTCGACATTGCTATTTATAATTGGTAGTCGATGTTCCACATTTCTCCAAAACTATCAATATTAAATTATGTTCGAGCCTTAGGTCTCGAACATAAATTCGATTGAGATTTGTTTCTATTATAAAATTATGTGACAAAATAATGTAATTAAGTGTAATCACTCGACTTGGACTCGATTTTCGTAGTATTTCGTTTTAATTTTCGGAATTAAAACTTAAAAAAGACTAGGATTTGAGTCCGATATTAATTTCGACTGGAACTAACTTGAAAAATATAACAAAAGTAAGTATAAAAAGTCAATAGTAATAGCTTCTGAAAAATTTAAATATTTTCAAATAAGTTTGAAAAGCTACTATGTTTAAAATATTAAAGATTAATTAAAGGGGCCAGTTTCATCTCGGTCCGGTACAAGCATTCGACGGACCTATCTGTGTCGAATAATTACTATTATTTGCACCATTCGTTCACACAATTTTATATTAGAGGCAAACCTCAATCGAAATTATGTCCGAGACCTAAAGCTTTAAGAGCTATCACTCGCATTTTTATAGTTTTGGAGAAATATAGAACATCGACTACTAATTATAAATAGTGGTGACGAATAAATCTTTTATTGTAGAGTTCCAAACAGTGATTAAATCGTGACTCGACCTCTTTCGAAAATTCGACTTTTGGCCAACCTTTTCACCGTAGACGTTAAGTGACGACTTGCTGTATAAGTAAATTTAATTTTAAAATTGCGTTTATATGATAACAATACACTAATAATATTTTCAATACGTACACTACCAGTATAGTATCATCTGTGGGCAATAATTCTATTCGCTTGACAAAAGGATAAGGTAAATGACCCAAAAGAATATTTAACGTTCGATTACAGATCTTTTCAAATTCTTTATCACTGTTTTTTTTAGGCATCTATTTAAAAATATTACTTATAGATATAAATTTTATAATTATAATCATTAAACGATATTTTTATCCTTGTTGCATAATTACCAAAACGGTCTGCTTTTGGTGGCATAAGGATTCATTATAAGAATGTTTACATATTAATGTATTATCTGAATGTTGACATCTGTCTGGAAACATTTTGCAAAATTCTGTCCGACGAAACCTTAAAAATTAAATGAAATTTTATATAAGTCATTCAAAGTTTAAGTAAAACAAATTCATTATAAAATATTACCTGTTAGAATTACACACTGTTAATCCAGGTGGTTGCATTTCAGCTTTATGTTCGACAATAATATTTAAGGATGTTGGATAAGCAAAATAAAAAGTTAAAAATCTTCCAGTTTGATACGAACAACCAGAAAGACAGATAAAGAATACTAAAGTCTTGATCAGCCTTCTTTTATTTTGTAATTTTGGTACCTCAAATGTATTTCCAAAACTTGGTTTATTGATTTTCCCGAATCGACGAGGAACATTGGCAGAAAATATTCCATAATTTTCGGATTCATAAAAGTTCATAATACTACATTTACAAATTTCAATATGAGAATAATTAATTAATTAAAAAGTTAACTGAATTTAATTTAGGTTTCAACTTACCCGATACTAACCTTTAGATGATATACCGAGGCTGTAATGAAAATACTCAGATGTCAGGAGAATCTTATTCATTATTTCATTCGTGAGTTGTCATCATAAAACTTTCATAACTTATTTAGGCCTATATTAAAATTTCTTATGCGAAATTTATTTTTATTGTAAGAAAAACTATTAATCAATAAAATGTAAAAGACATTTGAATCTTTCACTATGATAAAAGCATTTTTTCACACAAGAAATGGTTATGCAGAGAGAAAATTTTCATTAAATCTATATCGCATGTAAAATGAATAGTTTATAATTAAAAGTAATAAAATTAGCATTAATAAAATTTCTGGTATTTGTATTTCATTTCCATGTAAAATTACCTTTATAACGAAAACTATACAACAAATAATTGAAAAATTATTTATTTATAACATATCAGTAGCTTGTAAAATGGATTCATAAATTATTAAATTTTTTATTTTCATTTCTATAACATAAACACGCAAAAGGATCATCAGAATCATCACGTCGCTTGGCATACTGGATTGTGTTATATCACAATTACTTTATTTTCCGTCAATATTGTTATTTCGGGTGCTTGAAAAGAGCTACGAAGACTTTGTAAGTTACATTTTATTTTAGTTTTGTTATAATCCGCTTTAAGTTAGATTATTATAATTTTTAATATATTAATCTACTATACAGGATTAATAATACAATTTAATATCGCTAATGACTGAAAATAAAAATGAAACTCAGTTTTGTCGTAGTTTCGTCAAGATTTTTGTGTTTTTCCTTTGTCTGGGTGGATTTCTCTATCAAAGTGTGACTTTTTTAAATATATATTGGACATATCCAACTGTTGTTGATATTCGAATTGAATACAAACTAAACATGACTATGCCTAGCATCACCGTGTGCAATAATAATAGGTATTAGATTACCTTAAGAAATTTTTAATTAAACAATATATAAAACTAATTTAACGTATATTTTATTTTATACCTGTATAAATCTAGACTTAGAAGAAGTGTATATTGTAAAGCTCGTCCCGAAAACTGTGAGGAAAAAAGTTCGATGGAATTCTGTTCTGATTATCCTCATCTTTGTGGAAACGGCTCTTCTATTTACGTATAAAAATTATTTTTAATACAATCAAAATTTAATAAAACTTTTGGAAATTCATAATGATAAAATAACTAAATTTTCTATTGATATTTTTAAAATTTTGAATGAATATTTGCGATAATATTAACTATGCTCTAATGATGTCTGTTTTATGATTATAGACAGCTAAGCGAGAAGTTTTTTTAGAATCTAACAAATGTAATCACTCAGAGTTGCAGCTTTATGGTCATTCTATTACTCCTCTTGTTACAAGATTTGAAATACTTGATAGTGAAAACTATGATTTTGTTGAAAAGTAAGTATGTCATACAACTAAATTATTCATGTAAAATGTTAAATGTAAAAAATACAAGGATGCCTCATGAATAGTGAACCAGTTTCAAAATACAGTCGAGTCATCTTAAGAGAGCATCCTCGGGATCGCTGCATCATGCCACCTTATCCAGACTGTCAAAGTAACAAGATTATTCAGGGGGTTGTTAATGGTATTCGAATCTCTCTATCCCTGTATATCTTATGATCTCTACGTAACTTATAACCAAGAGCTGGATTTATATGCGTTTAAAATCGCAATATAGGCTCATACAAACGTTAAAATGCCATAAATATGTACTGTTATATGCACATTAAAGTGTCTGAAATATGCATTATGTATTTAAAAGCGCTATTAATGTACACTAAAATTTATAGGTGGAAATGCATACGTACAGTATTTTTGTCTGCGAACACATCTTACTAACGTCTATTGCATCACATAGTTTAGGTGGGAGGGGATAAACAAGCGACGATAGGTGACACGAGGGATTTGAATATTATGACGTCACAAAAACATACTAGAATAATGTTTCATGCAGGCGGTACAAAATCAACTCAATTACTAATAAAATTACGATATATATTCTACTGAATTTTATAATTTTTTGTACTATGTAACCAATCATTTAGTGATAAGCATAAATTTTGTAAAGGAAACTAATTACACAGAGAAATATTCATAATTTTATTTTAATGTCACTTATTAGTTTATCAATATAAAGTTTATTCATCCAGTGGTCATTAATATATTTGAAAAATATTCGAAGATAATTTACTGTATTTAAATATTCAACAAATATATTACGCATTCAGTGTTATGTGTATGAAATATATAACATTTATTGTTTAATTAAGTAAATATGTAATAAAAGACAGAGGAGAGGCAGAAGACCCGAAATGTATTTCCTGGTATAATAAAGTTTGCATAGTCAACTACTGGCGTGTTGTTCACTGTGATTAGTTTCTTCCAGCAAAATTTATGGTTATCACTAAAGAATCCACCAGGAAACCGATTAAACAACGAGCAATTATTTATTGTGACAATGTTAAATCATATTTTTTAAATTTATTTAACTTAAAATATACGCATTTCACCTTAAATTAGTACTGTCTTACCCCTGTACATCATACTTTTCCTTTAACAATAGAGTCGTGCCAGTTATCTATTAACTCCTTTCAAGGGAAAAGTTTTGACTTGAAATAATGTGACTTCCAGTTTTCATCAGAAGTTCGTATATAGTTAATCGGAACCTCCTGTCTCTAAACTTTCCATATCTGGTCTCCGCTTTCATCCATCTAACTCCATTCTAAAGAGACGGATGACGGAATTTATATCTACAATTTTTTCAAATTGCAACCCAACAAACTAATTTATAATCCGTTATCATTGAATTTATTTTTATACTAGTGGGCTTTTTAGTATAAAAATAAATTCCTCCTCCGCTCGCTTTCTCCTTATTTCCGATATGGACTATTCATAACAAAAATTTTGTGACGATTCTTCGATTCCTGGTGACGCCTTTCTATTTTTTTTCTTCCTTTCGTTACGGAAAAAAGTGTCATGACGATTTTAAACTAAGTATTTTACATATATACGGTAGATATATATTTTGAGAATGACTATATTAACCTAGTTTCCATCGTCCTGTACTTACATCACTGATCTACTGTTATATTTTTGTTTATAGCACTGTACAAATGATGGGAAGTGAACTAATGCTATTATTAAGTTAGGAACTAAATTTAGTTTTAGTATCGAAGTTGATAGTAATGTTTCGTTCCCGACTGATATAAACTATAAGAAAATTAGTTTCAGTGCAATTAGAATTTACATGTCATCAATTGCAGTTTTAGCTCGTTTAGTAACTTCAAGTTGCGCCGATGTGAGAGCATTTCAACATGCTGAGACACTTGAAACTGTTTTTTTTTTTTTTTAAAGCAAGAAACGCTTGTTGGCATACATTACAACAAAGAATGTGAAAGAGTATTATTTTAAGCGAGTGAAAGAGAATACTCGTCCACAGAATACTCTTTCACTCACTTTATTTGGTGCTCTGTTAAGTGGACTCTTTCATTCACAGATTATTAAAAGTTAGAAATTACTATGATATATAAATTAAATGTTCAAATATTTTTCCCCGCTGATTTTGATACACATGAAAATTTGAATAATATTTAATTATATAATATTCTATTTAACAATATTTAGTTTCATTGAAATATTTTTCGATTTTCTGTTAGAGCTATAACAGAAGTTTTTCTTCTTTTAGGAAATTTAATTATATTAGAATATCGTTATCCGAAGGAATAACTTGTCCAAGGAATTGCTATGCTCTAAATTCTGTTGTAGAAAATTCGAATTTTGATTTCGTTCACATATCACTTCAAACAGGTAATTAATAATTCAGTTTTAATAATTTTTTTCCTAATTTCTTTACAATGATGACTCGTTGTTTAATTTTTAAAAACACTTTTCGCTCTGTAGGTATTAATAGAGCTTTTTATCATACCCATCGTGGATATTGAATGATATTTATCTAAAAAATATCTACCAATTAAGCATAGTTTACTATTTAGTTTTCTCTGTGAACTGGTAGAATAATTTTATATTTAAAACTTAAAATTATGATAGCGGAAACTTTTTCTTTATAAGCTGCTACACATTCTTAAATATTTGCGTAATTTTCCATTTTCATAAGTTAAATACGAAATATATTCTGAAATTCATTATTTTTCAGAAGAAAGAAAAATTATGAAGTTGTTTCTAGATTTAGAGCCCGAGGAGTATTTAGACTTATCTTCATCCGCCGAAGGTTATCTCGCAGTTCATTCTCCTTTTAAAGTACTTAATCCGTTTATAAGGGGTTTTAAACTTCAACCTGGAAATATTTATTATGTCGATTTATTTATGGTAAATAAATATTTTTAATTTACAAAGCTATTTGAAAATTAACATAAAATGAACTCTCTTCTAGAATGGTTTATTTTACAGGAAGAGAAATTATCTTTACAATCGCCTTATCGTACAAACTGCAGAGATTACTTGAAAATATGGAAAGAGAAAAACATAACGGGACCTTTTACATGGGAGGTAATTTTATACTTTGATACCTTATGATATAAAATACTAATGTATTATTTATAAAAAGAATATACAAAATGAAGTCTATGGCCTAACCAGTTATAATTTTTAAGTGCCTTTTAGAAGATTAGAACATAAAGCAAATTCTTTTAAATGAACAAAAACCAATAAAAAACCAAAAATCTTTTTTCTCGATTTACATAAAAATGGTAATTTAGTATAAAAAAGTGGTGCGCAAATTGTGGAGTGCGGAACAGTTTGTGGGGCGCAGAATTTTTCCAATTTTCGATAAAAATGCTTGCATATAAAATTATATTTTATCTATTTGTTTTTTCAGATCTTACTCTTTATTTATAAACAAATTTAATATTTGTACTAAAATTAAAATGTTTTTTGCTTATCAAGAAGGGACACAAATATTGAAGCAGCTCTAAACAAGGCACGAATAAAAATAACTGCATAGGCTAATCTCAGTAGGGAATGTGTTACTTACATTCAAATATATTAATAAGCATAGCATAAAAATATGCAAGTTTCTAGATGTTGAATCTAAAGCCAATTTTCACGAGACTCAAACTGTAACGGTTCGGCATAAAAGTAACCAAATTTTAAAAAAATCATATTGTTAAAATGAAAAAAAAAATTAGCTCCGAATGATATATAGAATATAGTTCAACAATATACAAATTAATGATAGGCGATTAATCCGAATCAGGAAAAATCTCATAACTTCCGATTCTTAAAATTGTTCTTCAAAATTTAATGAGAAAATTTATTATTTGTTTCAGTAGAAGATTAAAAAATTTTATTACGATATTAACAATTAAATATATATTATTTTATTGAAAACTTTCATGTCGACAAAGCAGATATTACGCGACGTCTCATACACGAGGTGACGTTTGTCATTATGAACTTTTTTCTTTCTTACAGTCGGTGCAATGAGCGATTGCACTTGATCAATACTAACTGTACCCATTTCAGAGGAAATAGAGTGACTTGAAGGGATAGTTCTTTGAGTAAAAGGAAATTTTGAGTGGTGTTGCAATATTAACTTTATCTGAAATGAGATTACAGATTTATTTTGTAGTACAATAAAAAGCATGCACATCGACATCGACATATAAATGGAGAATTTTCAGGTTTCTTTCGAAAGATTGGGAAATCCAGAATCATTCTTAAGCTTGATATTTATTTATTAATGAATATTCCGCGCTCGTAATGTAAATCATTAATTTTTTTAAAACTAAAATAAACTTTAGAAAGCGTTCTAAAAAATCGGAAAAAATTTTGATATCGTCCGTCCTATCAATAATACAAATATTAAAACATTTCGGTTTTTACATCAGAGTTTTAAAAATTAAATAATGTAATCAAATACTTAATCAATTTAGTCACATATACAATTTACAATTACAATACTAGCTGTATATAATAAAAATTGTTTATAATATTTTAATAGATGTGTGTTCATCATTGTAAATTAACTAAAACTTCGACTAATTGTGGTTGTGTCCAAAAACGGATCATCTATCCCCATAATTTTCCATTTTGTCATTCAGGTAGAATTTATTTGTATATAAATAGTAAAATTTTTATAATAAATTATTTACATTGTTTGCTATATAAATTTCATACATTTTTTGATACTTATTTTAGATGACACATGCGTAAGTAAATTAGATTTGGAAGCGTGTTATTCTTCGTGCCGGCAAGAATGCATGTAAGTAAGTGTTTTAATAAAAACAATATTTTGTATGTTCTAATATTATTTTGGAATATTTGATATTAGATCGCACAGTTTTAAAGTAAGTGTGACTCACAAAAGGATTCCTGATGATTTACTTCGTATTGTAAGTGAGATTTAAATAATTCTAATGAACTAACAATAATTATAATCGAAATTTGATATGTATTATATAGCCTACATTCATTTTCAGTACAAAGAATTTTATCCTCAAAATGTTTACAATACTTTAAGGTAAATATTAATCTTTACGTTATATAAGAAAAATCATAGATACATTTTATTGTGTAAGATCGTTCTAATCCAGGATTAATAAAATTAAATTTTATCAGGAAATTACATTGCTTGATCGTATGATTTTCCCACTTTGTTAGGACGATTATATGACAGATTAAATACTATTTAAAACAATGACACTGTTACTATTATTAAATTATATTCGATTTACATATCCTCGAACATTACATAATTAGATCACAAGATATGTATAATCGTAAAAACCATTATTATTTTTGGGAAGCAACAAAATATTAAAATATATTGTGTAAGAACTCTGATCCGAAATTAATAATGTAATAGTATGATCGTACACAGTATACAATATCTATGATCTTTACACTTCAGTTTATAAACTTCTATCAATACTTACAAGTATAGAATTTTCTTTATTAAATATATCTCGTATGTTGCATTTTTATAATTTTCAAAATATTTCGAACAACTTGTTGAAAGAGTGTTGTACAACATTAAAGAAATATTGTAAATAATTAGAAATCATTTCAAGTATTTTGTAGTTTCTCATTCGTATATACAATAATATGATTACATTTTTAGAAACTAACGCCAGAAAATAAACTGTTTAAAATTGTTTACAAAATTTAAATAAATTTAAAAAGATTTTATATAAAATGATTTTTAAACGAAAAAAAAAAATTAACATTGCTTTCGCTAATACTTTTCTTAAACATTGAAAATTAAAAAAATAAAATGCAATCAAAATCTTAAAATATCTAAATACTGCAGTTATATTAAAACAATAAATAAATAATCTATTTCCATGGTTCCCAATTAGTGGTACGTGTACCCCTGGGGGTACGCGAAATTGCATAAAGGGGTACGCGCGGCAATCTAAAATCGGTCGAATTAAAACTTAAATGCATGAGATAAAGCAATCAAAAAAATAATGGGGGACCATCAAAAATTCGGCAATTTACAACATGATGTCGAATGCGCAAATTCGTTTATTTATAACTAAAAATATTCTCGAAATTTCATCAAAAAAATGCATTTGTGACCTAGATTACGCAAGAAACAAAAATTGTACAATTAACACAAGTTGTGTTAATTGTACAATTATCATTATTATCATGTAAGCGAAGCGGCAATAAAATATTTACTACTATTTTGTACAACATACCTCTTCGAGAGCGTATTTTCGGCCATGACAAACATGAAAACTAAACATCTTCAATTCGAAGATGACTTGAGACTGAAGCTGATCAAAAAGCCAGTGCCGTAACTAGGCAGGTGCAATAGATGCACCCGCACAGAGCCCACTTGGAAGAGGGGCCCAAAATGCATGTATTTGTTTTATTACTTTCCCAAACCTAATTAATTAAGGGGCCTAAATGAAAATTCCTGCACAGGGCACAGGAATGGCTAGTTACGGCACTGCAAAAAGCAACCAGATTTTACAAAGTTGTGCAAAGAAAATCGTGCACATTTGTCACATTAAAATTAAATAACATGTTATTTTCATTATTATTAGAACAGTATTTTAAAGGTAATAAATGTAAAAAAAACTTATTCTATTTATCACTAACTGTCTACCCACAGCTTCGCCCGCATTATATAGAATTTTCTCGCAGTAAAATGTAGCTTATGTCCATCTCCAACATGTAATCCTGTGCCAAATTTTATTAAAACCTGTTCAGCGGTTTAGACGTGAAAAGGTGACAGACAGAATTACCTTCGAATTTATAATACAGTATTAATATGGATTAATATGAATTTCTGCTATAAGGGGTACGCGAGTTTGAGCTCTTTCTTGAAGTGGGTACGCAGCAGGAAAAACTAATTGGGAACCACTGATCTATTTTAATAACAGATGGTTCATATGAAAGAAATAACTTCTAAAGATTTCGAGAAATAAAAGGATTTTATTATTATTGATATTTTAAGATGTCTATTTTACACATTTTAACTTTTATATCTTGTATTAAAAAAAAATTTAAATATGTATGTTAGGGTGGTCCATGAATTTTTTTTTTTTTGTTTGTTTTTCAGTTTGGCCACCACCCCGTAAATTTGTAATATGTATCCATAGCAATAACATTGTATAATTTCAGTTGGCTAACTTTAGTGGAAGAGGGCCACTCAATCGAGTGCTGTTTTTGAAATTGTAAAAAATGCTTGATCTTGATTTTTTGTTACAGGTCAGTTTCGTGTTAAATTAATCGAATCTACTTTTAAATACAACTGATAAAGAGTTTTATAGACGAACGTAAGAAACTTTGGTACTTATTTACTAGACTGAGTGAATCAGTGCATTAAAATGAGTTCATCAACTCGATAAAAGATGACATTTTTCTACTTGGATGTCAGGATCTTGAGCCATTGGTAAAGATTAACCAACTTCCAACTCTTCGGCAAGTTCTACTTCGTTATCACAACACATTAAATGAATCAAAAAATGTGAAAATATTCTGCGCATATGCTCATTCAAGAAGTCATAGAGGTGTGGAGCAAATTTGGTATTCCGACCAGACAACCAAATCACTGCGTTGAAAAACTTATAAAAATTCATAAGAAATGGCAGCTTTTAAAGAAAAATAAAACAAGAGATTCGGAAGCACAGAAAAAGAGAGAGCATTTGTTTACAGAAGAGCTAGACAAACTTTTTAATATTGCCCATACAAACGCCATGAACTCAATCAAAATTGCGGAAGACAGAGTTTCTTATAGATCAAAGAGGTGAGCGTAAGATGATTATGACATCGATTGACAAGAAGCTGGAAAAGACCAAAGAACGTTCTCTAAAATGAAAACAAAGAGCTGAAGAATTAAGAGAAAAGGCCGCTAAAAGTAATGCTTCAACGTTGGTAGTGTCAAGTCAAGAACTATCAGGTAGAACTTGATTTCAGCTTCAGTAGCACTTCTAATGCCGATAGCACTTTAAAAGATAAGCAAGATGATAATTTTGTGGTTGCTTTACCATCAAAGACTCTTTCTTGCAATTATCTCCTGAGACTTGGAGTGACAATGTTGATTACCTTCAAGGCAAAAGTTGCATAAGAAACTTGCGTGTAGTTAACGACACTGCGGAGAGGGGTGTAAAACAATTTGAAGATTACAATACGATATTCACTAAGAATGAGGAATAAAAACAATTTTTACTTCATGTCGTTGAACAGAACAGAAAGATCGTTTCTACTGAAACATCCAAAAAAGTGCTAACGAACTTAGTTTTAGGTTGAGAAAAAAAACTGTAATATTGTTTTAAGTATTACTTTATTTATAATATTTTGTGTGTTTAAATACTATATTTGAATAAAAAAAACTTACTTTTGATACATAGTTTACGTTTTTTACTTAATTAAGGATTTTTTCATAAAATTCAGATATTTCACAGTCGATGAGCACTCCCTTGTATATAAGATAGGGGGCTGAAATTTTATTAGGTGTAACAAAACAAGGTTTTTTTTTTAACTCTTTCCGCCCTGTAGGCACTAAGAGGGCCTCTTTTTTCAAGCCCATTATGGGTTCGGACAGGCCCACAATGGGGCTGCGGGGTGGTGAGGGACGGGGCCCGACATATCCGAATGGACCACCCCCCGAAAAATTCCTGGGAATTTTTCGATCCGTTCGGATTCGAACCCGGGTCCCCCAGAGCGGTCAAGCCTACCGCTCTGGGGCCGAGCGGTCAAGGTGGCCCCAGAGCGGGTCCACCTTGACCGCCCCAGAGCGGGTCCACCTTGACCGCTCGGCCATCCGGCAGATTGACAAAACAAAGGGTGGCGTGGCGTGACTTCCACTTGAAAAGTTTTTTTTTCGCTATTTAATTAAGCATGGACCACTCTAATGTATGTGTTTGATTGGTGAAGAGCTTCTAGGCTATGCAGCCCTGCAGTACGTGCGTGTTTATGTCATATATTTTTCAATGGCTGACAGTTTCAATATATCAAAAACAATTATATTTCACTATTCTAAAAAAAATATTCGATAAAGAGATGCCTGGTATTTGATAAACATTCGTTAGAAGCTGAAACAGTAATCTGAGGTATAATACATCATAAAGAGAAACAATATAATAGATAATTGAGCTGAAATTTGAAAAAATTGTAACCTATAAATTCCCACTGTCCTCCGTTTTTTATTGTTTCAATGTAGTATTGTACAATTAAAGTTATTTTCAGAGACTTAATCCCAGTCGATGATGATAAGCTTATGGAAAATAGAACTATTAGAAACTATGTTCAAAATGCGGGCCAATGAAGGCTGCCAATGGTGGAGAACGAAATCGGACTTAGCTCACCAAATCACTTGTGAAAATTACTAAGCCAATTTAAACTCTAACCAGGCTATTCAAATCGGCCTTACTACCACATTTATCGGATCGTCATCGAAGTGTGATTTGGCCTATTACCTGTTGATTCTCCTACTCCGTGTTCACCAGAGTTTAAATAGAATAGAGTTAAAATTTTATCTGTCGTGTTCAATTATGCAATTACTTAGTATCTTTAACAAATTATTTTCAGAAATTAACACTAGACAAAATGTCTCTATCCTTTATAAAAATTGAAAGTTTTATCATATTTCTACTTTAATACAATTGCAGGAATAGATGCATTATTTTGATATTTTCTGTGGAACGACCGGAATTTTTGTTATATCAATACTTACCAAAATATGAGGTGAGTTGCTTAACTGTTTTAAAAACTTTTATAAAAATTTAAAGAAATACAAAACAACTATATATATAATTATTTTTGCTTTTCTAGATTATCGAAGTGTTTAGTTTCATTGGTGGGTATTTGGGAATGTGGCTGGGAATCTCGCTTTTCGCTATATTCAATTTTCTGGAAGATGCCGCTATAAAAATTTTCACAAAGTACGAAAATCAGAAGAAACATAAGAAACAAAACGTTTGGACCAAAGTATTGTGCGCTCGCCCAAAACCATTTATTCGTCGTAAAATATTAGCTTAGCACTAATGACAAATTAAGTTTTTTGAGTTTTATGTAAATGTTTTCTGAAACAGTCTATTATATGTTTTATAGATTTAGTGTAAATAAATGTAATGTATTTCAAACCTAAAGAAATATTTAATATTTTTATTTGAAAAATTGAATTTAAATATTATTACACTGAAAATTCCTGTTCAATGACAGCATGGTAACAGGATTGTCGTTTTTCACAATTAAATTATTTGAGGTGAATTTGTGTATTGTTGAAATAAATGCAAGTGGATAAGTTCTCTCTTAAATTTCTTTTTATATACAAGTTAAAAAAACCATTTAAAATTATATTTTTAGCTAACAATTGCAAACTTTTATTGTACTGTACTGTACTGTACATCTCCTGATTTTCTGTTGGGAAAAATTAAAAATTCTGTTTGGTCCAACAGTTGGTCTCGATTTCAGATATTGTCTTGTTAATATGGACTCAATTTGGTTCATTTTCTGTTGTTTCAAGTTATTTTATGAAAATTATATTAAAAAATAGTTTGCATATGGATGATGTTTCTAAATATAATTTTCAGATATAAAATGCCATTTTACAAAAGCATTTACAGTCATAATGTCTGACTAACTTTAAAACTAGATAAAATGTTATTATAATGAGAAAACTTTATAATGTTCTAAAATTATTAGCTTGATCTCAATTTGTATTTTCTATGACAACATTCCAAACATTTCGAACCAATTTAAAATATTAATGTTTTCTGTTAAATCAAACTCAAAAACATTTCAAAAACAAATAAATGATACTTTCTGTTTATTCCTTTTAAAGAACAAATTCATTATTATTAAAAACAATTACAATTTCAAAATTTAATACAATTACATATATTAAAAATTTATTTTTATCAACCTTTGCTATAGAATTGATGTTACAATTAATATATTAAGAATTACCTTTTTGAGACAATGTCACCAATTATTGTAAAGTAACCGAATCATATGAATGTAGGTGCTAAGTTTTTAATTTAAATAGGATAAAAATGCAATTTTTACTTTAAAATAAATTTAATGAATGTAACAAGTTTTTCACACTTTAAATAATATTCAATTTTAAATGTGATATCCAATCCTGTAAACAACAGCAAATATCTACCTAAACTCAAAAATTATAAATTAAATAATCTGTCTGATTTAAAATATAATTTAACTATATATTATATATCTTTGGTAAATATAAATTTCTTTATAGTTTACATATAATTAAGTTAATTAATTATAACGATAAAACTATTACTAAAATTCATAATTTATAACAAGAAAATAATTATATTAAAATACATTTATCTATAAATATTAATTTTTTATAATACTTTTTGATTTTGGTAGAAATTAACCAATTTATTATATATACATGACTAGATAAAATGTGTAAAAAGAATAAATCTACTTGTTTCATATGAGAAAGATTATTCTTTTTAATCATATAGGAATTATGTAAATATCTCATGAAACATATAAGATTGTTACTATCTGAGATATTAAATTAGGCAGCATTAAGCCATTACATTTTTACATATAAGTATACGTAAAATATGAAATAATATGGTATATTTTCCAGATTTTTTTCTTTTACAATAGTCCTATACATTAACTATATAATTTCAAAATTACATATTAAACAACAATATAAAAATAAATTTCAGAGTTTATCTTTTTGGTATGATAAAAATATCTTTGGTAATTCAAAATGGGGTTTTGGCACTATAATTTGATTAAGTAGTTGTAATATATTTCTAAAATGATATATATGTTTATTATGGATATATTGTATAAAAATATTAAATGTTAAAGTAGAATTAAATGTAAAATCCTCAATGCCAATAGGTCTTTCTAGTTCTTATTTTAAAAATAACTATTATTAAATTACAAATACATTATAGCCAAAAAAGATAGTCCATTTCTATAGTGTAACAAAACAAACATAAAAAAATAAATATTTGAATTTTGAAATTCATTCTAAAATGCATTGAGGATTCTTATTCCCAAAGACATCAATAAATGATTACAAAAAAAATGTTTAAGAACATTTTTTTTCCAACGAATAAATATTTTAATAATTTAAATAAGTCTGAAATTTGTGTGTTTTAAATATTAACAATTAAAACAATTTAAAAAATATTAAAGATGTCTTTGGAAATAAAATGTTAAATAATTCCAGCAGAAGCTCTACGGGGTGCAAAATATGCCAATGGCAATGGTTGTTCTTCCTGAGCAGCAAAAGGTGAAAATATGCGACGAAAGCTGAAAATAGAATGTAACAATTAAAAGTTTTTTCTTATATATTCTAATAAAAAACATATTTTGCATTAATAAAAAAAAATCAAGATCCTATGTCAGCATCACTAGATCTTTATACATAGATGTGATGTGTATAAAAATACTTAATGCTATTGCTAAATATAATTTTGTAAGATCTTTTCAAAATCAGTTTCTTTTCAGAGGGGAAAAAATTGATATTTATTATGAATATTGATGGACAAAATCTCATAACATGTAAGAAGTTAATTTTTTTTCTTAAAAGATCACTTATAAATCTGAATACCACACATTAAAATGTCTGAGTAAATGCATGCATTTCATGTAAATTATTACAATAGAAAGGGTAATAATTTACCCTTTCTATGGTAATATTACCAAATTTTATAATCATAAAATTATGGTAATAATTTTATGATTATAAAATTTAATTTGCAATAGTGAAAATATCAGAAATATCTGATAATTTTCTGCAATTTTTCTTTCTCTATTTAGAATGAATTTGATTGATACAAATTTTTCAATTTTTGTGTTTTGCCAATTTTATAATCATAAAATTATGGTAATAATTTTATGATTATAAAATTTAATTTGCAATAGTGAAAATATCAGAAATATCTGATAATTTTCTGCAATTTTTCTTTCTCTATTTAGAATGAATTTGATTGATACAAATTTTTCAATTTTTGTGTTTTGCCAATTTTATAATCATAAAATTATGGTAATAATTTTATAATCATAAAATTATTACCATAATTTTATGATTATAAAATTGGCAAAACACAAAAATTGAAAAATTTGTATCAATCAAATTCATTCTAAATAGAGAAAGAAAAATTGCAGAAAATTATCAGATATTTCTGATATTTTCACTATTGCAAATCTATCTCATGAGGGACAAAGAATATAAACTCTCTTTCCAGGTGACAAATTATCTTATAGTTGTATCAGTTGTATCTTAAAAATTAAAGATAAAATTGAAATAAATATATTAACCATTCTTGAAAATTGTTATTTTTAAGAATGGTTTCACTGCCCAAAGTATCCAGTATTGAAGGGAGGACAGCATTATTAATAAAAAGTTTCCATTAATTACATGTACCATTTTGAGCCACTTTTAACCCTTTCCTTCTCTGCTATGTACATTAATGTGGGTTTTGGCAAAATTACTTCCCTTTAACTAAGTGATAAATCCATAATCAAAGTAAACAATCTATCACAAAAGACCAAACATAACATTCACTGACAAAACCACATACAGACATATGTATTTTGAGCATCCCTAACATACAAAATATTTATACACATCATAAAAATTAGTAAATATTCAGAATTTTCCCATGAAACAAAGTACCTGTAGAGAATGGAGAGGCTACATATGTCTGTAGTCATATATAGGCATCAATCAATTACACTATATAAAAATCTAGAAACATTTGGTCTTAATAACAGCACATACTGTATGTAGCATTACAGAAAGCAGCTATATGAAAACTGTATTTAAGAATTTCCTGACTGACTTATTACTTAAATGAATAGCACAAACAAAATAACAGCTTTTTATGATTATGAAATTGCTATGTCTTGATCTTTGGTCCATCACAGTGCTATGCACCAGTATCAAGAGTAGAACAATCTGCTAACAACAGCAATAATAAATAAGTATATAAATGATGAAGTCATTAAATATAATAGATATTGTCAAGTAACTAAGCAAAAAATTATATTGTTCAGTATTCCAATACATTACACCATTAAATTCTACAACCACTTACCAACTGAAACTACCAATAACATGAAATGGAAGTACCAATTACCAAAACAGCAGCATTCATTATATAACATATTCTATTATATTTTAATATAATAGAATATGGTTATATTTAAATATAATAGCACATTCCACTTAATACCCACATGAAATTTTTAATCTTAGTCAAAGGATTAAAAATGAATAAAATAATCTACAGTCAACCCCCCTATAAGATAGAGATACGTTCCATTCTCTAGGAATCCGCTTTCTTACGAATCCTTCCAATCACAACCCGACACGTATCAAGTTTACGGACTACGGCTGTTTGAAAGATTTTCTTCCATAAAATTAATCGATTCTAGACTAATCCGACTCAACATTTCCAAAATACGTATATATTTTTTGGGAATAATCCGTATAAACTACGCTATAAACAAAAAATTGTAGGATTACTTACCGAGTGTCACCATTCGACATTGCCATTGCTCAACATTGTTTTCGTCGCGGAACAGCTCAGCAAAGAGCGGCCGATTTCTAACAACTTATTTTTCTGTGAAAACTTCGTAGAACTTCGGAGACATCATTAATATAAATAATTTTAATCGCCGTTGAATAAGAAATGTTTCTTTCACAAGAAATGTATAAAATTACAGTACTGTATTAGACTTACGGTACCTAATTTACATACTGACAGACGATAGTTAGCGTAAAAATCTCCGTAGCGTGGCGCCACGCTAGACGGCGGAAATTATATATTTAATTATAACAAAGTTACAATAAGTTAATATATAATTATATATACAGTACCTAATTTATATATAATTAATATATAATTATATGTACAGTACCTAATTTATATATAATTTATATAATACTGTCCAGACGATAGAAATCTCTCCGTAGCGTGGCGCTACGGACGGCGGGAAAGTAGTTCGGCTGCCCGATGACGTTTGACGTGTTTATAGGGAACTTTTACTATTTTTTACGGATACCGGTAGCAATTTTTTCGTAGTTTTATAGGAATCGTAACTATAGGGACTGTAATTATAGGGGGGTCGACTGTATGATGAATTTTTCATATTAAAAAAATATACTTTAAATCTGAGTTTAATGATTTCAAATTATCTAATTTCTCAAAATTTCTCTGAATAGGAATTAATATTCCAAATTTTAAAATATTTAGGAAGCAAACTAACCTATAACTTGAATTGCAAAAAAGAAATAGCAATTAGAATAGCCAAGGCAAAAACAAATTTGAAAGCAATGGACAAAATCTCGAAAAGTAAAGCAATTAGTTTGCAGACAAAATTAAAAGTATTGAACACCTGCATCTTCTGAATGCCATATGCCTGTAAGACATGGGTAATAACAAAAGATATGGAAAGAAAGATATCAGCATTTGAAAGACACTGTTATAGAAAGAGCTTACAAATAAAATGAATGCAGAAAGTCACAAATGAAGAACTTTATAATAGGATATATATAAAAAGAATCTCTTACAAAAACTATACAACAAAAACTTCAACTGTTTGGACATATCACAAGAATGAATAAAACCAGAAAAATAAAGACTAGTTTACGGTATTATGGATTGATCTAACAAAAGAGGCAAACCATATAGAGAATCAATTGATAACAAGAAGTGGTGTGGAGTGAATGTACAGGTATTGAGAAAATTGGCAATGGATAGAGAGAAATGGAAGAAAATAGTGGAAAAGGCATCAGACACCAATGGGCAATGAGCCCAGGGTTAATGATGCTGAAATTTTAAAAAGTGAATTCTAATTTACAATACATAAATATCTTCTATCATTATTTCCACAAATTCTTAAAACGGAAAGAATGTTAAGATAAAGATCAGCAATATACAATCAAAACTGTTTAAAATTATGTTAAAATTTACTTAAATCAATGTGTAACATTTATAGTTAGATAGATCTAGCAAATATATAGTATATGAAGAGATTGCCACAATTAATTTTGTACATTAAGCAAGGGATAACTGTAGTTCAAACTTAATATGTAAATATAATACATCTATATAAAAAAAACATAACTCTTAGTTGTAACAACTCTATGAGATACAGCTATCCAAAGTATGGCAGGCATGATAAGACACATCATTATAACCTGGGTGACATAGAGTGCACATGTCTTATATTGGCCTGTTCAAATTTGAAATTTTTATGCGTGATCTATTTGATGCATTCTAATTTGAAACAAACTCTGTAAACCTAAAGCTGGAATCAGGTGGATTCCAAAAACATTTGTGAATTGCTACATTTTGTATGTTTTGCTGGAAGCTGAAGAGGTTTAGTGATCTGAAGACATCTATATACTTAAACTACTTGTTGAAGGGTTTAATTAATTTAGATATATTGATAAGACTTAGCCATGTCAAGCATGATAATAAGATTCATCAACAATCAATTATTGCAATCTGTCACGTTATCAGCATGTGAAATATAAAATACAGAAAAAGCTAATAAAATAACAAAATATGCTTTTTGCCTCAAATTAGTTAAGTACTGTATGCTTTTATAACTCCTAAAGTAATAGGAATTGAACCAAAAACTTTAGTTTTTTAAGCTACTTTCAACAAGATAAACCAGGGGAAAAAAATATTCTTTTATCTAAAGTTCCATTCCTTAATGATGAGTTATAATAAAAGGATCAGTATTATTCTTTAAAAATTCAGTTTTCGTTTTTTACAACTGATTGTAACAATGCATAATTAAACCATGTACTATCTTTGTATCATCTTTGCATTTTTTCAATTAATGTAAAACTGATTTTGTTCACATAGTCATATGTAATTTTAGCTGTGAAGACATCAGCATCATATTTAATCTTCTTCTCTTAAATCTCAGAAAGTGACAGAAAGATTATTATTGTATCTTGACTTGTATACTTAGTTGGAATGTTAATGGTTTACAGTGATTATAAATCCTGCTACATTCATGAGACTGTGTTGTCTTCATATCATTTGCATTAACTGCTTGAAATTGTAAGCATAAAAACATTGCTGAAAGAAAATCTGGTTTTGATGAAACAATTCTAATTATTGATGACAGCCTGTCCTCAAGCATTTGAAATTCATTAAACAGCTTGGAAGTTATAGTTGCTTTGTAAGTATTTTGAGTGATGCTTTCCAATCTACATTTGCAATTATATACTTCATAATCACTTGTCTGTAGTTCTGTTTAAAATTTTGAATTATGCCTTGATCTAACAGGAGAGTAAAATGATATTTGGTAGTAGAAATATAATGTCAATATTTTAGAGCTGAATGTCTACAAATGTTGCAGTACTGTCAAAAAACAAAAATACTTTCCTGTTTTAGCACAGCATTTTTCTGTTCAACTGTTATATATATTAATATAAAATATCTGATTAATTAATTATACATAATTTTTAATATCTATATAAAAAGATTTATTCATTTAATAAGTTTACAGTTCTAATATTAAATACTTACAATTTATTGATAGCAGAAGGCCTCCTTGCCATCATATTTCTGTTTCTTATTTCCTGATCAACTAAAGATTGAGCAGGTACATCAGATTTAGTGACCCATTCAGCTTCCATGCTTGTTTCACTGTCAGAAGCATTTTTATATGTTTCATCTGCTTCACTGCTCTGATCAGATTCTTGACTGCCTGACTGATCTGAATCATCAGAATGTTGAATAAAATTTGTTAGAATATTATCACTTATACTTTGTTGTTCAATTTCTAATTTCATTGCTTGTTCTGTCTCCATTCTAGTAAAAAAGAGAAAATAATCAAATGTTTCAATTTGTAAATTTTTCAGTATACATATTTTAATAATGCATTTTCTTATAACTCTGCCATCCAGTAATCACTACAGAAATCTTTCATGCCAATTATGATTTGGTCAGACTCCCAACAGACATAGCTGGGTTATGATGAGATGAGGATCCTGACATTTCTAGGTCAAATCACCTATTAAAATTTCTAACCTAGAATTAAACTTAAATCCCCAGAGCAACAGACAGATGTTTTGGCTATTGAGATGTCTTAAGAATACAGTTAATACAAGTAAAATATAATCTATGTGTTATTCATTTAATAATATCAAATGTAAATTTTTGATAATCACATAAAAAAAAAACTCTTAAAATGTCTTATAAGCAATGTTTACATATTCTCATTTTTATATATTTTTATCATTTTTGGATTTATTCTACAAATGTTTTTAACTATTTAACCCATTTATACATCTTTGTATTTTTGTTTATTTGTATATTTTTTCATTTATGTTTGGCATTCTCTCATTTGAATTTTGTTCTAGAATATTTATATTTAAATATGTGTTTCCAAAATACATTTATGTTCTGTTCTTTTCAAACAAAACCATGTAGTATGTAAATTTTTGTTTATTTACAAATTATAAGTAATTGCAATGAATAAAATAACATATGATGTAATTAATAAAATATAAATTATTTTTCAATTTAATTTAAAATTTCATCAAAATGAAAAACTTAATAAAAAGTAAATAAATATAGGCTTATTGTTTAATATATAATTTCAGATAATATAATAATATTATTTAATATTATAATAATTCATAATAAATCATTATTTATTATATTTCCTAAGATTATATTTTTATTTTATAAAGGGTTTTCTCATAGAATACATTTACATTGTATTAGATTCTATTTACAATTACAGACAATTTATATTCATATATTCAGTCTGCCCCTAGGCAATATTTCAGTGTACCAAATATTGTCTAGGATCTAAATATATATTGCTAAAAATTTAATATTCTGAATAAATAGTACAAAATGGTATACTGACTGATGCTTGTATGTTGTTATCAATTCATCATGATTCAAGACATAAGATTGGTATCTGACAGTTCATAACACACTCACTATTCATGAGTGTATTATGAACTGTCAGACACCAATCTTATCAACTTGATAAATATAAATAGTATATGTGCATTACAAATGAGTAGTAGTAGTGACTCATTATAGGTGGCCATTAGGAACAAGGAAAATTTATTTGGTTATTGCTTGTTCATTTGATTTAGTAACAATGGGTGGACACGCTTGCTGGAGTGTTCCTAGGCAATTGTTTATCGTATCTAGCAGTAAAACCAGCTCTGGAGATAATTGATTTTCTTGAAGTGAATTGAAATTCAAAATTTATTATAAAATATATCTTAAATAGAGCATTGACAAAATTCATTCAATAGTAATATCCATGGTAGATGAAATTTTCCATCACAAGTTAAATATTCCAATTTTGTTGAATAGAGTATACCTGAATTCAGTAAGTTAAGATTATGTTGCTGCAATGGTAAAAACTTAAAAGCTGATATTTCAGATTTGGTATAATGAGACAAATTATCAGATGACACATTCTTATGAAAAAAATAATAATAAAAGAAATTTTACAATTTAATTTTTTTCTTAAAACTACACAAGTTTTATCAATTTTTTTTGTTTCTTCTCCAATCAATTTGACTATTTTTTGCTTATTATTAAGTTTTTATAAAAACTAATTTTATTTTATTTATTTTGTTTGCACATAAAATAATGTAACTAAGCATGTGTCTCCAATTAAAAAAAGTAAAACTTCTTAAGATACAAACAAAACAACAAGAATAAAATTGCACACAAAATTTTGAAGAATAACCCTTTCGTAAATCAGCAATAGACAACATTTTGATTACATTTCAGTTAATGTTTTTGATCTTCTCAAAAGGTCATTGTCAGGCTGTTATATTTGGAATGATCTTTCAAATATAAATGGAACATTAAATATAACATAATAATCAAAGTATCTTAAAAAATTTACATTCAATCCTCTTAATTGGTTGAAAATGTTGTAATATGATTAAATAAAATCAATGAACACAAACTACCATGCTTATAAAATAATTTTATTTTAACTTCAACTTATATTAATAAAATTAATTTAGTCTGTTAAAAACATTTAATAAATGTAATATTTCATTATGTTGGCACTTCTGACATAAATTAAATAAAATGGAGAATCTGCAAAAGAAAAAGTATTGATGCTTTCCATTATATTATAAACCACATTATTTTCACTAAGCTTTATATAATCTCAAACTCAAACAAGTGAATATTGCTCATTTTAACATTTTAATTACATCCTTCATATCTTTTTGTTGTTATAGAATATCACTGTTCTGTTCCAATCATATACTTTATTTTCCTTGAGAACACCAATTAATTTGTATCAAAATATTAATTGCATCCTTAATAAAGAACATCCTGTTAGAGTAATGATAAATTTTTTACTTTTTATATATGATAAGAATGCAGCAAATATTCCCTGTTCATAAAATCCTTTTAAAATTTACTTTTAAAAATGAGAAAATGTGTTTTTACTTGATTTTTTTTATTGGGCTTAATTTGAGGTAACTGTAGACATATAAATTCCCACTGTCAGCCATCTTTTCTTAATCTCGAGAACAGAGTTAGATAAGTGAAAGACAAGATCAGATATGGAAACTTTAGGGGCAGGAGACCCCAATTAACTATATACAAACTTCTGATTCAAATTGTAAGTCATGTTATTTCAATTCAAAAATTTTCTCCTGAAAGGGATGATTGGCCTAAAGATGACTGGCACCACTCTATTTTTAAAGGAAAAGTATGATGTATAGGAGCAGACCACTACTAATTTGAGGTAAAGAGCATATATTTTATATTAAATAAATTAAAAATATGATTAAAAATTACAGCCCAGCATTGTGATGATGTCACAATAAATAATTGCTTGTTACATAATTTTCTAAAACTGAAAAATTTATATTGTTAAATAATTGCTTGTTAAACAATATAAATTTTTCAGTTTTAGAAAATTATGTAACAAGCAATTATTTATTGTGACATTGTCATAATGCTGAACTGCAACTTTTTAGATCTTCTCTAGATCAACTTTTTAGATGCTCTGTATTTCAGTAGTGTCTTGCCTCTGTACATCATACTTTTCCTGTTAATTCTTGTTATTTCAATTCAAAAATTTTCCCCTGAAAGGGATGATTGGCCTATAATAATTCCAAAAATGCCAGTCATTTATCTAACTCTATTCTGGAAAAAATTTCTAAATTGAAATCTGGTCTAAACCATTAGTTCATATACAGTTAATCAGGGCCTCTGGCTCCTAAGCAAACCATATGTGAACTTAACTTTCATCTATCTAACACCATTCTCAAGATTAAGGAAAGATAAACAAATAGACATCACTTGCACCCAAAATATGAAAATATGAACCATTTGTTTTTCATTGTGTGGCTATACCATTAGAAACAGATATCTCAAAATTTGCACGTAAATGCAATGATTTATGAAAAATAGGATTCAGTACAGATCAATTGATAAGATGGCTGATAAGGGACAACTTATCACTGAACAAAGAGATTACATGCTGATTTAACAAGAGACTAAGACAGAGAATAAGCCAAATTCAGATGTTTGTTTTAAAATTTAAATAATTAAATTTTAAAAGAAAAATATAGTAGTAAATAAATATGTTTTAATAGCAGGACAAAATTTATATATAGAATTTAAAACTGAAGAATTTCTTAGACTGGATGAGAAAGTTACCTAGAATAGCATATCAAATTAACATTAATACAATTTAAAACTTTTTTTTAAATTGAATTTACATGTTACAATTTAATCAATAATAATATCACAATTCATAAAAAGCATCAAAATTTTGATAATACTTTCTAGGAAGGAAATGCCATAAGATGATAAGTTATTTAATCCTTTTATTTCCTATTAAAATTGTAAATGTCTATGACTTAGTTCAAGATAAATTGACTGATAATTTTGAAAAATTCTGTTATTAAATATATCATTTTTAAAATAAATGTAAATAATTTTAGGTGATTTCTATAAGATTATCTAATTTTTAAAAAACTCAACTAAAGTTTAAAACTTTTAAATAATTTAAAAAATCGCATATCTAATTTAATGATAAATCTTTGAAACAAAGTTCTCTACTTATTTATTTTATATGTAACAAATATATATTTTATTTTAAATATGCTCTGGTTATTAATCTGAAGATTTAGAAACAAAAACAAAGAAAGCATAAAATAAACTTGTGTTCTTTTTGCCAATAAAAAAATATATAAAACCATCACTTTGGTTATTCTTCAAACCTTGTTAATAGTAAAAGTTCATCATCCATTTACAAGAATTTAAAAAATATATTCTGTATTACTATGTACTAGTCTGTCTATCGAAAAATTGATTTGACAGCAACATTACATGTGGTATTGCTTCAGTTAAAGCAATCAGCACATTCTCTAATGATGTCAGCACTTTTTTGCTTCTATGTCAGGCAATATTTGAATTTCAATTTATTTTCTCTCTCTAAATGGCAGAATGACTTTTTTGTTAATTATGTTAATTTTTTATAGCATGCATTAGTTGTAAAAAATCATATATTAAACAACTACTATAGCAAGCTTCCTTGTATTCCAATACTACAACACACAGCTTTCACAATACATTTCACAATACAGTGAAATGTTTTAACAAATGAGAAAGAAACCAGAAGTAACTTGCCACAACTAAGCAATCAATAGCTGATGCTCATTGCTTAATACCCAAGTTGAGATTCTTTCCAAAGACATTATCATTATATATATATATGAAAATTTATGCCAATATTTGAGGAATAGATTCTAAAGTCAAAAATAAGTATAAAATCCTTTATAACCATTATCCAAATTCCTCTTTGTTTGAGATCAAGTCTGTCAAAAAAATTAATTATGCAACTGTGTCTGTGGAGGACATTTTGAGTATTCTTGTAAATTATTCTATTTGATTTTGTAAAAACTGTATTATTATTTAAAGTAAATTTACACTGAAAAACACTTTCTCTTTTTTTTTTTTAGTGTAAAGCAAATGGCTGTTGCAAAATCTTAAAGTAGATAATACTTTGTTTACATTTATTACAGTAGAACATACTTTGAGCAACATTTAATTACCTCAAGCTAATGACAGAAGCATTAAAAAAAAAAAATACAAAATTACTTTAAAAAGTTGATAACTTTAGGTGCTAGTATTTAGGTAAGGAATTTGAAAAGTACTTTTTCTTTAGTTTTAGGTGATCTCTGTAGGATTAGTTAAATCATATAAAAAAATACATTTAGAAATGTTATTTTTTAAATTACATATTGAAAAATTTGGTTTTAATGTAAGAAAAATACAGAGTAGTTTCCCTGTATTGAAGATTATATATAGAATATAAATAGAATTATCAGCACAAAACATTTCTCACTAGTGAGAAAGGTTTTGTGCTGATAATCTTAGAAATAGTTCTAGCTACATATGCATAGTAGTATAAATAGAATTTGAAGCATTTATTTAAACTTCAAATGATCAAATGAAATATTCATAAAATAACAATTAATACATACTTTAGTGATGGTCTTCTTTCTCTGTAAAATGAAACTTCCTCTTCTAAATATTTCAATCTTAATTTAACATTATTCATTTCGCAAAGAAGACGTCTTAGCTGTGCTGGTGTAAGTTTTGGTAATTGTAGTTTTTCAATATTCCTATCTTCAGACTGTGTTTCTTCAATCTTAATTTAAAATAATTTATTCATATAATATTTATACAGATATGTATAAAAAACTCATTAAAAATACATATCTAATTAACATTAAAATTCAAAACCAGAAGCAACAGACAGATAGTTACACAACATGTATCTTTGACTACTTACATTATTAATTTCAGATCCTAACATTTCATGTAATGCATTCTGTAATAATTGTAATTCCCTTTGATGCTCTTGAACTCTTCCTTGAAGTTCCAATTTTTCTTCTAACAGACATTGATTCTCTCTCCTCATAACCATTAATTCATTTCTAAGCTTTTCATTTAATTCCTTCATCCGTGACAATTGATTTTCTAACTTTATGAAAAATAAATTTGTAAATATCAAAAAGTTTCATATTGTGAGTATTAAGTAATCAATAGTATTTACTATTATAATATACAGTAATAGGTACAGTACTGTACATGTGTGTGTATCTGTGTTTTTATCTGTTTTTTTTTTTTTGTCTTTTGTTTTTTTCCTTTCTTTGTAGTTTGGGAATACAGTCAAATCTTAAAATGCAATGCTTTTTGAACAATTCAATTCACAAGCAAAATTTTGAACTCATATTACCTTGATATATATATAAATATGATTTCAAAAAGTGGTGTGACAGTTAGAAGACCTTGTCTTCTAACTTGTCTTGTATGTTCTGTTATTAAACTGAAAAACAGAGGTATAGCTCATGAAGTGTGCTAACTCCAAAATCTGCTTACAATGCTGATGGGCCCCATTCTTGTTAAGAAAGTGGTCCCTAAGAGCGCAGAAGCATGGTTGCAGCCGAATCAATGGGAAAAGGGATACAAAATCAAATACAGTGAGTGGGCATCATTAACTACCTCTACTTGTCACAGAATATCAATCAAATCATATGACCCCTTTTTGTATAAAATTGCAGCCTTCTGTGCCCTAATCAGATGGTCCTTCACTCATCACACCAATAGGCACGACACTCTGAGCTACAACGTATAGAAGATATAGCAATTGAACATGGCTACAGAAGAAACATGGTTCATAGTTTAGCTCATGCCTATGCCAACCAACTTGCCGCACGCAGCATTTCCAACACTCAGTTTACTTCTAACAGAATCCAGCAATGCATCACAGGCTCCAGGCACACCGTAGTTCAGTTCAATCAACATTTGAACTCCTTATACATGGATATTGCAAACCAGAATGCATACAGGAGATCCGGTACAATTTACAAGCTGCTATGCAATGCAAAAGATAAAATAGATCTAAGCAAAGCTCAGGAGTATACTCTATTCTTCTTAGGGATGATAGATTCCAAAGGAACTTAATTTATATTGGATCAACCATACATTCAATTCACAAAAGGATATGTGAACATTAATTTGACTTTGCGAACAACAGGCACACCACTGCCTTGTCCACGTACGCCACTGACCCGGAAGTTCATGTGGACTTCCAGAACACCATATTTATTAGGCAGGCCTTTGAAATAGACTATATTCGTCACCTGGAGGCCTTGGAAATTTATAAAGCCAACTTGAAAGGCAACTATATTAACTTTAAAGACTGCGAGACTGTGGTGCAAGCATGGAAATACCTGTTCAAGAAATTTGAACAGAGTCAATCAGCCGTATGAATTTAATATATACAAAGTTTAAAGTTGAACATCATCGTTCTAACGATCCAATTTGGAAGTCAGTTTAGTTCATTACCTGAAACAAGTCTTGGTGATGGCTAAAAACATTCAGAAGTTATGTTAAAGTTCAATTACTGGTTAAAAAAGGTTTTGTTTGTGATTTATTAATATAATAATTTAAACAATTTTATTTATTTATTTAATTAATTAAATAAATAATTAAAACTAAAATTAAAACCAGTTAATTAAAACTAAAAATAATAATTAAAACTCTGCCTTTACACCAAAACTAAAACTAAAATTAAAAATCAAATCAAATCAATTGAAATATAATATTTCAGAAAGTGTGGATAAAGCTCTTGTTTGTCTGTCTTGATTAATTAAATATACAGTATTAGAAAAAAGAAATATGAATAATCAGCTTAAACATTCATAATCGATTGATTTATTAATATATCATAAAAATAATACAATGTTCATATTTTTATGAAATATAATATTGTTTAACAAAAATATTACAAATACTGTTAGTTTTTTTTATTTATATAATAAAGAAAATTGCAAATTACAATATTTTAGATTACAAAATAACAAACATTAATTTTTTTCAGTATTATATTAAAAAGAATGGAATAATAATAAAACTTTTAATATGTTATTCTAATTTACTACATATTTGTCCAGTTTATTAATTTATGGACCTTATTAATGGCACAATACTTTCTTTAGAACAAATAAAGATCATTTATTTGTTTAATTAAAAAAAAAAATTAAATTACAGTATTTATTCTGAAAACTAACATTAAAATTTTTTGTCTTCAACTATATTAAAAATTTAGATATCTTAAAAAATTACTATAAAAACTATCAAATTAAGATTATTAAGGTTAAACTATCAATTAAAGAAAAAAGTATCAAATTAAGGTTAAACTATCAAATAACTGAAAATTTAGGTTATACTATGATGTCAAAAGTCAAGAAAATAATGTAATGTTCAAGTAAAAAATTAATTCTTTGAAAAATGAAGAGTAAATTAGAAATTTAAGCAAAACACTAAGCATATGAGTAAAAATAATACGTAATTCAAAAAATAAATTAGATTTTAAACTTTTATGAACAAAAGCAGGAATAAATAAACAGTAAATATTTACTTACACACTTTCTTAAACTTTATTAAAATTATAAAACTAAAAGTATATAAGTGATAAATGTATTTAAATTGTCTTAATACACTATTGTTAAATTCATGACTTTATTAAGACAATTAAAAATATATATGTACTTCAATATATATATATATATATTGAACTAACAACTATTTAATTTATATAATTTAAAATATTCCAGAATTCATAAATTAAAATATTATTCAGTGAATCGGAAGTTAACAACTTTAAACAGATAATTTAAATTCTACTCACAGCATCAACTTCTCCATTTTTTTCAAAGATTTCTGCATCTTTAGCATGTATCTGATTTCTTTGATTGTTAATAACTTCTCTTAATGTACAAACAGTATCATCAATTTCATTCTCTGTAAATAATCACATATATATTTTAAATAATTACAAGTTATTTAATAAGAAAAAAACATTTCATTTGAATTTTTTAAAAGTTTATACTATCTTTGATAACAATAAATATATATTTTATTTTTGAAATATTGAAGTATTTCAAATCTGATTAATTCATATAACAAAGATGATATGCAATAAATTTTAATAATCCAAAACATACAGGAATTATTACAGTAAAGTTTCTATAAAGAAATTATAAAACAGTTACTTCTATTCATTTAATTACAGATAAAAAATTTGTTCATGAGAAGCTTAATCTTAAGATGCATGCTTTAATACTGTTTAATCATTATGCAGTCTATCAAAACACAGTTCATATTCTTATATATTTTTGAATTTAAATTCACATTCACTATAGATTTATAATCTAAGTACAAAGAATCCATTATTAATTCCAATTTTTTAAAAATTAATCATAATTAAATTTTATGTAAAGTATCTTAAAACTTATAAATAATATGATTGAAAAAATTATTTAGTCATTTTCAAATTGCATATTAATTACAATAATAAATAGCACATGCTAACAATGAAGTCAACTAACTTTTTTTTGTATTCATTCCTTAAAAACTATTTGTTGAAACAGTTTTTTTACTTTAATATCACAATTTCATTTTAATTTTCTATAAAGTTGTAATTATCAAATTTATATAAAACTAATGATCATTTACAAATTAAATCTTTTTGTAGATGCAGATAATTATCAAACAAATCATTAATACAGGTTTTGATAATTTATTGATTATTTAATTAAATCTGAAATAAAAGTCCCTGGAAAGAAGTTCAAAATCACCATTCACTGGTGTTAACAATTCTCTTGTGTCATTGATGTAATTTTGTAAATGCTTTATTACAGAAATCAACTGATAACAAAACTATAAAACACTCCAAAAATACCTTAAAAATTGTCATTAATCACTTTAATCTCTAACATTTTCAGGCGTATTTAACTGACGTTCTTCAGGATAAACTTATAAAACAAACAACAGTTGTATTGAAATATTTAAAATTTTTTCATTGTATTTGAGACATTTCATTTCAAACAAAACTATATTCCAATATGGAAACCCTAAACAAATAAACAGAAAGCAAAACAAAAATTTACTTAGGATAAATGTAACAAACTCACCTTGGAAAAAGTTTGGAATCATACAAGACTGTGGAAATAAGTATGAAATCACAAACATAAAATTGGTATTTAATGATTTGTATGGCCTCCTTTGGTTTAATTATAGCTGTAACTCTTTTAGACATTGATTCCTTAGGTTTTTAACAGGTTTCTGCACTGATGTTACTCCAGACATGATTAATAGCATTCTTTAACCCTTCCTTGCTTGATGTTTGTTGAGAATTCACAAAATTTTTCAATAAACACTACATATTTTTGATTTGATTCAAGTCTGGACTGTTCGGTAGCCAGTTCTTCCTTCACAAATTTCTTTGAGTGAAGAATTCTGCAACTGACACCACTCTGTAATACATTGTCATCTTGAAAAAAGATAATATTTATCTCCAAACTAGTCTTCAATTGTTGGGAAAAGGATTCCTTTCAGCTCCTCTACATAGACTTCTGCATTCACTGCAACATTAAGAATGAGATTTTCCAGGTCCTTGTGCTGAGATACATACCCACATCATGAAGGACTGAAGAAATTTAATTTTGCATTTCATGTACAGTACTTGTCTTGATACTCTTTGCCTTTCTTTTCCACATGAATGAATGACAGTCATACCATAGTTGATGTTGATCTTTGACTCATTGCTAAAGATGACACTACTTCCCCTTCTACAGTCCAGGGTTTTTGTTCTTTGGCCCTCAATAGTCATTTTTGTTGAAAATTTTTGATTAACTTTGGCTTTGTCTTAATTTTCATATAAGAATAACCCTTAAAATGGATATAATCTCTTACTGTTTTGTCAGAGACTAGTGTTCTGCTGATTTCAGATCAAGCAGTATTCAGGAAGTTGCTTTGAAGTTGTTTGCAGCACACTGTTGCAAATTCAGTGCAATGTCCAGTCTTGGCATTCATAGATTAGCAGTAGATGCCTACTTTTGGATCAAGTTTTTAGTTTTTGTTGTTGTATACTTCTTCCATATCTTACAGCGGTCTGTGAACATTCCATTGTCTGTCAACACAACATTGAGAATATCTGTTATTCAGCAACAATTCAGTTGTTGCAGCCATTTCAAGCACTATTATTAGGAACTATTGATGGCAGTTAAGGTAAACAGATCAGTCAGAGCAGCTTCTGGTTTTTAAGCAGTTTTGCATTGAATATGCAATACCTAATTTGCACAGATTTTGCTTATTCCACACTTACTTCCATAGCCTTGTCTGATTGCAAATTTTTTCCAAAATAAGTTATGTTTGTCCTAAGTAAATTTTTGTTTTGCATTTAATTGCCATTTATTTGTTTAGGATTTGCATATTGAATATAATTTTGTTATCAAAACAACACATTTAAAAAAATTTCAGCAAAAAGAATAATATTTATTAATAAAAAGTAATGTTTTTGACTACTTTCAGGAGTCATCATCAGAGTAGAACAGAATTTTAAAAGAACGGGAATTCAAACATAAATTTTAAACAGTTGGAACACATGCATGATTGGAAAAGGCAGTACTCATGGACTAATTGTTTATAAATCACAAATTATTTTAAGCAAAAAAAAAATTCTCTACACTTATGATAGAGTTTCATTATCCTTATAATTTATGGCTGTATTTTTTCAATTGGCTTTATATATTTTCAGTTTTTTCAAACTCTTAAGATGAGCCTTGTCTCTGGTGTGATATAATATGTGCATCATTGAGAGATAATTGAACCTATCTGTTAGTTGTGTAAGGTAGCCGACCCAGTGGAGATAGGGGACTTGAAAACCCACTCCTTGGCACCTGTGTAAGGTTGTTGTCTTTTAAGTGGGATCAATTAATCCTGCATCAGGATGAACCTAAGGAAAGATTGTATGTGAGCTGTGAAGGCAAATGATGACAAGTGTTTTACACAAGAAAGCCGTTTATTTGTGAACATTTATGCTTACATCAACAATTGACAGTCCTTCACTAGTTCTTCGGAGAAGCAAGAACTTCGGCATCTGTCGTAGCCCCAGGGTAGATAAGATGCCATTGATGGGCAAGGTGGTTGATCAGAGAAATGAAGCAGCAGAGTTCAAAGTTGTTGGCAATGACACAACACAATTCAAGTCACAACCTTTCACGGAATACAGAGGAGACTCCCCTTTGACCTTGAATTTCGGATTTTTATAGTTTTTCACCCACTATTCAGATTTTCGATTGGCCCCTTCCTTGCTTTCCGATTGGTCTCTCTTTTGTTTTGGGTGAAAACCGAGACGGGAAAGGTCCGATTCCAGGTATCTATTCGACATCTTTTTGTCAATTGTGCTCGAGGATTGTTGACAAAACTGCAAGACTCGCAGTCATAATTTAGCCCCATTACTTGTGATTTCTGTCATCTGGGTACTTTAACGATCATATGTGATGATTTATAACTCTTAAATCTTTCCCTCTTTTCTGAAATTGTTTCCCTGTATTGATTGTTTATGAGCGCTTGGGTCAAAGTTCTATCTGTTTATGAACACTTGTGTCTGACTTATAACTTTTCATTTTGACATTGACAGTTCGTTTAACACATGTCGGAGTCATTTGGGACTCGTTTACATTAAGGGATTTTCCTCTCTCTCTCATACTTAATCTGTCATTACAATTTAAATATAAGGATACCATAATTTATGCGATTTCGGACCTCGTCTGAGACCTCACAGTTACAAAGGTTGCTATAACCATAATGGTGTGATTCTATTTAATTAAACTCTCATGCATTTTTCAGGTTAAAATAATGAATAATGACATTCTATCACAAGTATGGAGGTCGTTTTTTTGGAGTCATTTAAAATAAATGTTGTAGTTTGTAAATGGCTTGTCATTAGTACTGCCCCATCCAATCACAAAATTCTTAACAGTTAGAATATGTTGAATTCCTGTTGTTTTAAAATTTTGTTCTAACCTGATAATGACTCTTGAAAGTAGTCAAAAACAATAATTTTCATTAATAAATATTATTCCTTTTGCTGGATTTTTGTTTGTTAAGTGTGCTGTTTTTATTGTATAAAAATATCCACTTATTTGTTCTACTATAAGTAAATTTGTTACCAGTTGATTTCTGTACTAAAACATATATGAAATTGCAGGAATAACATGAGAGAATTGTTAACATCAGAAAATATGCGTAGTACTGTAATTCCAAACTTTCCAGTAGTAGTACATTGTGAATATTTACTTAGAAATACACTTATTATATCAAAAATTAATTATAAGTGGATGTGCAACTTCATTAAAAGCAAGATACAAGGTTCCTACTCAAATTTTTGTTTTAATTTCCATGACTTTCCCTGACCAACTTTGTACAAATTCCCTGATCCTCATGTCCCTTATCACAGTACGGCAATGACAAAATAAAACAGCATTTGACTTACTATACACATATGTTTTGCTTCACCAACATTTTAATTAGAAAAAATAACTAATTAACAGTTATATATATTTTTTTATAATTTCNTTATGCAAATATATCTTCTCAAAATTTGCCTAAGCAATCAACAAGCAAACATTAGATATTTTTTAAAACTTGCCTTTGAAATGTTATAAATTCCTGCATTACAACATTCCATACTTTTGACCAGAGGTTGTACAGTAGACCCTGTAACACAGGTTCATATAAGACAGATTCATATAACACTACGGAAAAATTGTGATTGTGTTCGTATAACATGCTAAAAGAGGCTCGTATAACACAGTAAAAGAATGAGACTGATTGTCATGTCCGACTCGTGTCTTGACAGGATTGGTCGAATCTGGACCAATAGTAACCGCCGTCCAGCGGCATATGTATATACTGACAGTTTAATTGGGAAAGTTGAGTTTTCTTTCATCTGTATG